ACATCCACTTCTGTGTCCTGCAGCTTCACCAGCTGTCTGCTTCTCAGCAGCGTGCCGCCCAGTGGGTCACCGTCAGCGGTGAAGCTGGACACCGGCGCCGTGCCCGCGTACCTGATGACGCAGCACTGGTCGCGCCTGTGCCGCTGCATGTCGCGGTAACAGCTGTCAGCGATGGCGAAGACGTGGGGGGGCAGCTTGCCCAGCTGGGCGCCGTGGTAGAGCCGCACGTGCTCGGCCGTGTAGATGGGCAGCACCTGGTACGGGTTCACCGCCAGCAGGATGGAGCCCGTGTACGTCTGCAAGGAAGGAAAGAGCGAATCGGGTTACAGGGGCCCCAACAAGGACCCATCCACAGCCTGTCTGACTGTCTAAAACAGGGTTATTCAACTCACGGTCCTCGAGGTCCGAGCACTGCTGGTTTTCCAGCCTTGCTTTACCTGTCAGTCAGGTGTGAAGCCTCTGACCAATCAGAATCAGTAATTATTAAACAACTACCTGGGAGAACTGAAAACACGGCCTGGATTTGGAATCGAGGTCCAGAGTTGAAGAACCCTGGTCTAAAATGTAGCTATTTGTAGCTGAAGGAGCCATTTGGGGCCCAACTGGACCTACGTAGATGACGCCCTGTCTGTGGCGCATGAGAAGGTTCCGGAGCAGGCCGGCCTCATTCAGGTCCCCGAGCCGGATCATGTCGTCCACGCCTTCCACGGACGTCGGGTGCATGGGCCGCAGCGAGGCTTCATTCTTCTTGGAGAGCTTGTGCACCTGGAGGGACGTCGAGGAGGAGATGCAGTTAAGACACCGCCGGGCCCCCCCCTTTGCGGAATGGGGTGCCGTGTCTCGCCCCGGTCCGTACCTTCCCCTCATCGTCGATCAGCTGCCGCTGCCCGGTGTCCGACAGCTCGAGTCGAGCTCCGATCGGAATGCCGATGCTGGACTCCAGCCAGAAGAAATCGCCCTGCGAGGCATAGAGTGCAGTTTACGTCCCAGACACTCTGCCCCATGCCAGCTAACAGCTCATGGCTAGCTAAACCTAAAGATAGTATATTGACAAAAATCGTGGTTTTATTGAAGGTTTTGCACAAACCGTCTTACCTGCCGGAACACAATCATATCTGACACCTCAGCACCAGCCTGTATAGCCAGGAAGAAGAAGGGTTCGTGATATGAAGTGTTTCTGCGATAACAGGTTTATGTGCCTATTACCTAACCAAGCAGTTTTGCAACAGCAAAGATGATTCTAAACAGAGGCCACACCTTATGCATGCCTTAAAATACAACAGCCTCACAAATGCAGCACGTAACAGACCCACAATCCCACTGTAATAAACTCTATCAGGACACATTCTCAAATGAGCTGTTTTATTGTTTTGCCTGAAACCAGGGGCCTGTACTACGAAGCAGGGTTACTGGTTTATCAGGGTAACTGGATGGATTTAAGGTACCACAGTTTAAATGGACTTCATATTCGTTCACTTACATTTTGCCCAGATTACCTTAAATCCGACAAGTTACCCTGATAAGCCAGTAACCCCGCTTCGTAGTACAGGTCCCTGCTGTGTACTGAAACACACTTAGAAATCTTGATAATAGGAGAAACAACAGGGAAAAGGGAAAAAAATATCCCATATGCAAATAACACATAAATCAACAAAGTTTGAAGGGTTCCTGCTTTCATGTTACACTGGGAACAGTAGATTAATGCATCTCTGCTCTAGCAGGAAAAACTCTGTTTCAAGATCAAGCCTGTTAGATCTTTATAAAGAAACATCTGATCATTCGGAAATCCATCCTGCCCAAATCCCAGAACGGTCCTCATCAACAGGGCTCTTCTGAAATGTCATCGCTGTGAGCCGCAGGGGTCAGCTGTCAAATTCAACACAAACCTGTAGCCCCAGCTGTGTTCCCTCCTGTTCCTTAAAGGGCCAGAGACCAAGCTCCCGCCGTCCTCCGAGGTCTGTCCGAGCGTGACTGCGTGGGCCCTTCAGCAGCGGTCCTCATAGGGTGTTCTCCTGATCTGTGCACTGTGATGCCCGCCTGTCTCGTCCCAGTGACTCCAGTGTCACTTCCAGTGTGAATGAGGAAGCAGCCGCGTCTCTCTGCCAAGCGTCTTAGATGCCCTTGGACTTTGCGCCCCTGTGGCTGAGCCCTTCTGACATGCTAGTGCTCCGGCGTCAAGGAAGCGATTTCCCACCGTTGTCACGCTCCTTTTTTAAATGTCAGTCTCTCACGCACCCCCACCCACCCACTGTTAAGGGTCCATTTGACTCAGCTAACATTTAATAATCCATAATTTAGTTCCAACTCCTTGCGGTGTCGAATCGTACAGTACAGGAACTGTGCACTAAATGACTATGGATACTGAATGAATGAAGGTATTTAAAATAGGGACCAGCACGATGTGACTTTTAACATATGAGAATATAACATTTATCCAAAGCTGTGGGGGCATAAAGAAGACTGGGCTTACCTGAGCAAACAAACAGGCAATTACGTTATAAACAACAGATAAGCCGGATGTGTTAATATCTGGCTGGATTGTCCCTTCATGGAAATATCAGTGAATCCTTCAGCATTACGTTACAGGCTTGTGACCTACAGCCTGAACTAAGCCTTTATAGGACATGTAAACATATGGTGAAAGTAGTTTCTTGTTCTCATTTTATATGATCATAAATTTCATTAGAGCCTACTTACCATCACAAGAGCCACAACGGGAAATCGTGTTGATTTATGGGACATTATAAGTAACCAATCTGATCCAGTTCGTAAAATAAACAATATAAAAACATTCTGTATTTTTTTTCTTGAACTGCTATGTGTCACTAACCAGTGAGAAATAATTTACCTTGATTTGGACTGTAAACAACTTAAGAGGAATACTCCAGAAAGTATTTTCACATTTGGGGTCTGAACAGTTCCTACCTCACAAGCTCCTTCTCCATCGAGGTAACAATACATTTTTTTGCCTGTTCGGTCAGTTACACCACAGGCCGAACACTCAGCCCTTATGTAAGATGCCTTATAGTAAAAAAATAAAATAAAATATTCCAGTAACACATACTGAAGAAGACATGTCATATACACATTTGAACGTTATCAAGTTTAAATGTCTTTCCAGTAGACCACGTTTTTGCATTAATGCTTCCATAATTAAACTATGAACTTCAGATAGTTTTTTTTGGCTTAAGTCTGGATTTACGCAAATGGGGCGTTACTTGTATTTAAGGGCAAAATGTTGCAGCTGACGAAACCAGCGAGTGCCGATACCGAACAACAAAGATAAAGACGGTGGGATGATTTCTGTGTGATGCGGCATGTGTGGAATGCGGGGAAGCCCACGCTGATGTCGTCAGCAGAATTAAATGAGTTACAAAGGTAAGGGAGACACAGGGGGATCATGGGAGATGACAGCGCCTGCAGGGAACGACCACTGCCTTTCCGAGAACCAGGCCCAGCATCGTACAGTAAAACCAGGTTCAAAGTTGAAGGATATTTGAGATGATGACGCTACTATCTTGTCTTTCTGTGTACAAAGGGCTGGGCTCCTAAAGAGAAATGAAGGAGGGAGCCAGTTTAGCTCAAAGTTCAGATATGGCGCTTGATAGTAGAACAATGATTAATTGATGCGATTAATCGCACTGCCAAATATACCACAGGAGAAAGGGTGCAAAAACAGGATTCTGAAGTCTTACCTTTCTTCCCACAGGAAAAAAGGCATCTCCCGAACTATGTCCCATCAGAAATTAAGCGACATTAAGTCAGTCGCTTCCTGTGCAGTTACCCAATAACGTGATCTCACCGTAAGACACGAGCAGGTGATATAAGCCTTCCCGGCACAATGGAAGCACAAAACCATAAGTCTGTGCTACTTCCTCATCCACACACACTTTATGCCAGATGCGGGCAGGCAGACAAGGGCAGTAACCGCAACCGCAACCGCAACCATGCGCACTGCTGCTGTATTATATTTTTCCTGTAAGCAACTGGTCAACAGATGTGTGTATGCGCTACGAGACCAGTTTCTGAGATGCTGGAATACCACAGCATTGTGGTCACCATGGCAACTGTGGATTCTAAGCTTCATGTTAAATTATGAACCACTTGGAGGCGATGATCGGACTTATATTTTGTGCAGGACTCAAAGTGGCAACAACCACTGTAACTAGGGGTGTCAGCTCCTGCAACTAGTCACAGAGAGCAGACAGAGTTACACACATCATACTTGCAGCTAACTAGCCAATGTTAAACTCCCCCTATATCAGGACTGCATTTACCCAAAACCAAAGCAATGAGGTTCAGTAAGTGTTACTGCGTGATCAACAAAAACCAAAGTTTAGCATTTGATTAAGCGACTGAACGACACACAAATGTACACTTTGTTTTTACTACAGTAATGAATTAACAAGATAACGACACAGAGTAAACCATATGTACATTAAAAAACAGCCATCTGAAACCACTCAATAAAAAAAGAAAAATCAAAATGAACCAGAACAGAAAACTACATTATCAAATAAAAAACAAACGCATTACAAATGAAGCCATTCTGCTTTACAAAAACAAAAATCTACTTTATATTTAACATATAACTGCCAGTTTGGTCTTTTCTGGTCTTGCATATATTTATACTTTGCTTTAAAACAAAAGAAAAATCCCCAAACCACCACCTCCTAATACACATCTCTGTCCATGTGTTATCCTCACTCGGACCAAATTTACATAACCAGATTTCCCACCTAAGCACGGCACAATGGAAGGACCGGTGATCGTCTATTTAAAAGCCGGAATTCCTCACCCAGATCACGGCCAAGACCCGCGGCCCCCACCCCGAAGAGGCCATGGCTGTGGGCGTCTCCCGGCAGCGGACAGCAGTGGGTGGACCCAAGGAAGACCCCTGGACTCACACCACTTCAGAACCCTAGGTTAATGCGTGTCGCTTCGGGTTCTAGAGATCTAACATTTGCTGGGCTTGTTGAACGAAATTTGAAAGAGAAAAACCTGGCAGTAAATTGGGGCAGAAGCGATCGATCCCCCAAAAACTGTGCCAAAGGAAGGTCATGACTGCAGACCTGGGGGGCACCGCCAAAGGCACAACACAGCCAGCCTACAGGTCCCTCCTGGTGCCTCCCACCAACAGGGCGCATCCGCCAGCCCCCAGTCCCACGAGCAGCCCTCTAGCCACAGCTAACTGTCTCCATAACCACCCAACCACTGTGACATCGCCCCCTGTTGGCATTCCTCCTGGTGTGCCCAGTCCAGCCAAGGAAACTGGCAGGGAACACTGGCAACAAGAATATTTTAAGATAGAGATTTAAAAAATAAAAAAAGAAAAGAAACCCGGTACTATGTCAACACAGAGTAAAATGAACCTGCGTGGTAGTCTAAGCAGCACGCATAACGAATCCACTCTGGTTGCCACCATCGAGTGCAGAGCACACCCAACCGCTTTCTAACCAATCCGCTCTCAGGTGGAGTTTCCGTCCAATCACGGCCATCGCTCCGCAGATCGCCAAACCGGCCAGTTAGAGCCACAAATGTTCTAGAGGCCTTTGGCGAGGGGGCCTCCTGGGCGGCTCCGGGCCGGGCGGAGCGGAGGGGAACGGCAGCCGTCCCGGCGGGAGGCGGGCCCAGCCGGGCCGGGCGGGCCGCCATCCTAGGCCTTGTCCTTGCGCTTTAGCTTGGACACCTTCTTGGGCCCGCCGTTCTTGTTAAGCAGCTTCAAGACGCGCTCCTTGTGGTCCAGTACCTTCATCATGGCCTCGCGGGCCTCCGTGATCTGGTCGATCACCAGTTTGCAGCGCTGCATGTTTCCCTGAGATGGAGAAAGGGAGACGAGATCGCTAGAGCAGCCTGCACTACACGCTAAACCTGTTAAATCCAGATTTCTAACAGGCACCTATATATTTATTTATATATAAATAAATAATTCCCCAGGGAGGGGAAAAGAAAAGAAAAGAAAAAAAAAAAAACAGGCACAGTTGTCAGAAATCAACTTTGTTCACTACTGCCACCTACCTTCTGTGTGAGTTAATGCAACTCACTAAACACAGCATCAAAAGAAACAGCCAGACCCAGAGTCACCGAGGGCTCACCTGGATGAGCTCGTTGATGCGGTGGAGGTCGTCGTCAGCCCCAGCCTTCTTCTTGGGGAAAAGGCCTTCCTGCAGCGTGGAGAGTCGGCCGTAGACGTCGTGCTCCAGACTCGTCTAGAAGGGCAATGGATCGAGGAGTCCTAATCACTCTCCTGACCTTTTAGGTCCCTGATCAGGTTCTAAGTCACGTTTAGCCCCGCCCTCACGGTCAGGTCCCGCCCCCTCACAGCATCGCTCACCAGCTGCAGCAGCTGTGCGGCACAAAGGTGAATCTTCCAGCCTTGCGCTCGGCAAGCGATGCCCTTCTGATTGGCCACATCCTGCAGGGTGCCTTTCTTCTCTTCTGAATGTGGGGGGGAGGGAAAAATCAGCCATTTCTTGCCGCGATTAAATGGTAACCTCAATGTGAGGAATGCGGACGCTGACCTTTGACCCTGATGTCGCTGTATCTCTGGAAATGATGGTAGGCCGCCTTCCAGGGGTTGCGGTAATGCCGCAGGAGGGTGACTGGGGGGCGTGAGCGGACGGGCACGTAGCGCACGCCTTCCTCATCTGCAGGCCGGGTTAGACACAGCAACCGTGAACAGGTGGTTACTGGTTTGAATCCCAAGACCCCCCCCCCCCACCCCCAATTCAGCAGGGTGTTTAAGCGGGAAACACACCCAGCCGCTTCAGATAGAAAGTACCAGTCAGGTAAACGGGGGGAAAAAAAAGTGAAACTGAAAAGTTGAAACTGGGGCAGTGAGGGGAGCGGGCGTCCCAGAGAGACGAGCCCCAACCACAGGGCCCCTCAGGAGCCGGCAGCACCACCCACCAATGTACTCCTTGGGGGGAGACTTGCGCTTTTCGGGTCGGACGCTGAGGGGCCGGCTGGCCGCCTTCTCCTCGTCCGTACTGTTGGTCTCCACCATCTCGCTCTCCTCCGTGGAGATCACGTGCTGCTGCTTGCGTGGCTTCTTCCTAGGGGAGGCGCCGGGCATGACGTCGCCCGCGGGCAC